GGAGCCCGATGCGGGACTCGATCCAGGGACTCCAGGATCATGACCTGAGCCGAAGGCAGTCGCTTAACCAACTGAGCCACCCAGGCGCCCAAGGTTCTTTAATTTAGTAGAAGAATTATTCTTTTCATCTAGTATGGGGTCAGTTGTATAGAGTAACAAAATGCTGGTTCTGAACTTGTTAGTTTATTCTTGCTGATTCCTGTCTCCCTTTTCTCCTTTCCAGAATCCTATTCTAAGGACTTGGACACTCAGGCATCCCCCATGGTGTTGGGTCCTGAACAGAAGATGCCAGATGGTAATTTACAGCTGTGTTATTGTCTGATTTTTACTAGGAATTAGGTTTAAATCAGTAATAGAAATTGACCATATTTTCCTTCTTGTCATCTATTACAACCAAAATTGTCCATAAATCCTCTTCCCTAGCTAAGAGTATCATCATAGAGACCTGCTCCAATCAGGTCCAATCCAGTCACCATCTAGTAATTTAGGCTGTAAATGATAATCATAAATATCTGTCTCATATCTTATTTCCAATTCTGAGATGAGCCAAGATGAGCTGCAAGTTTGGTTTCTGTAGCAGTAATGCTTGCAAGGGCAAGTATTCATCACAGGCCTGGCATAAAAACCTTTAGAATGCTTTGGGTTTTCACAGCACTGCAGATACATTAAGGAGCAGTAAAATACCGAGCAAGCGCATTAAACTTTGTATTCCATTAGAGCTTCTGGAGTGTTCTGACTAATTCTTTCTAATTCTAAATTTCCCCTTTAGAATTTTCATTCCTTTTCTTTAAATTTCCTCATCAATTCAGGGCCATTTCACAGTTCCTATAGAAAGAAAGCTTTTGTTTTTCTAGTTGGGTGTTGCAAGGATTTCTTGGAAGCCCTGACATTAGAGCTCTGTGTTTTGAAATTGCCGTTTGATGGCTACCAAACTGGGCTTTGTATCCTTCTGGCAGATTAGCCCTTTTCTCTCAGACCCTCCCCTTCCCAGCATTTAAGATTACCTGCAAAATGCAGGACTCGGAAACACTCATAAGCAGTCTAAGATGAGCCCTCCTGTCACAAGGGTGCCCACACCCCGTGACCCGAAGCTCTTCATTGCAGGCCTTAGTCAGGAGGCAAAGGGTTCCTGTTTGGTGGTTTCCCTGCAGCTTCAGATTTTAGCCTAACCATGGCAGGATTTGTCAACTTCCACATTTTTTGAGAAGCCTGACAGAGATATAATGTCCAAGGACGATTCTTTGGCTAAGTCCTACCAAATAATGGATGGGGGTGGGGGTGGAGGAGGGTAGTAACCCCCTAGACGGACTTAGTTCTGTTCTTCAAAAAGTTAGGATTTTAGGTTACCAGCGTGGCTAGTCGGGGAATGTTATATTTTGAGCCCTAGGCATCAGTGTTTTTAGAAGAAAATGAAATGGTTCTAAAAATTGCCAACTGGGTATATAGAAGTGTGAAAGTAGGAAAACCATTGTGAGATGAGCGTTAAAACTGATCTAGAGCAAAGTGGCTGGGGAGGAGGGGTGAGAGGGAGCTTTTTTACCATAAGCTTTTTTTATTTCCTGAATTTCCATCCATGTGAATATATTGCCTAGGTAAGAATTAATTTATTAAAAATATAGATGAAAATAAAATATTAGAAATAAATTGAGTAGAGCCAGGTTGGTCTTGTGCATTTAGGTATTAAAAAGATTTAATTTAAACGTTACTAAGGACAAGTTGTTGGTATATTTTGTTTTTTTTAATTTCTTCTCAAACCTGTTAATTTAGATGATGTTTCTGGAGACCATGGGGACTCTCCCAGTCTTGGTACCCTCAACCCTGCCTATAGTACCTCATCTCTACCCCAGTCCACTGAGCACTCACAGGAGCCCTTTACCACCTACTTTGATGAGAAGATCACCATTCCTGAGGAGGAGGTTAGTGACAAATCCTTGGAGGAAAACATTATTTAGGGAAGACTTAGGAGTGAAAAGTCTGCTGGACAACTTAAGATCAACAGCCTCAGATCTAATTTGGGCAAGCAGTCTCTGAAGACTTTTGTAATCAGAGTAACTGTTTACAGTAACTGTTCAGGAAAATGAGGGCCTTGAAAACAGTTGCCACATTGTACTAGTGATTATTTTTTGATCTAGTAAGTATGAATTTCATGTTCTTTTTTTACCATGGCTTTTGACCCTTTTGGGTAGTGATTAGGCACAAGGGTACTGATACTGTTACTTAGGTTTTAGAATGAGAGGCTGATTGATGGAAAGAGCAGGTAAGGGAATGGTTCCTATTTGGACAGAGAAGTGGCCAGTTTATTGATAAGAAGTGGGTAAGATGGGAGTGCCTGGGTGGCTCATTCAGTTAAGCGTCTGCCTTTGGCTCAGGTCATGATCCCAAGGTCCTGGGATCAAGCCCCAAGTTGGGCTCCCTGCTCAGCGAGCCTGCTTCTCCCTCTCACTCTGCCTGCTGCTCCCCCTGCTATGCTTTCTCTCTGACAAATAAATAACTAAAATCTTAAAAAAAAAAAAAAAAAAAAGATTTTAACAGGCTCCAAAGAGCAAAAGGAGGCATATATGCAGTCAGAGAATCTTGTAGTAAGTGTTGTCTGTCTGTACTTATAATTTTTCTTTGCTTTAAGAAAAGACATGTCGAGGAAAATTTGTACTCAAATTGTTAAGGCCAGGCTACATCCGAGAGACCAATATGTGTCATTGGAATAAATGAGTTGAATGTAGTCTAATAATAATCATTCTTCACATTTAATTACTCAAGCAAGTATGAGGGCAAAACATTTTTTCTGAGGCATGAGTGGGTATAAGTTGGTTTAATAGACTGTCTTATTTCAATATAAAGGGTCTCTGAAATTGTTCACAGAGCTTGGAGTTGTGTTCTGGGATTGATGTGTCAGGTCGGGAGGCCAGGTTGGTTCTCCCAAAGGGAAACATGCTGCTATATACCTCTGATCAGGAGGAAATCAGAGGAAGTTCTCTGTATGAGAACTGAGAGGAGCAAAGACCAAGCTATATAGAAGTAAGACTTAGTGCCCCTGACATGTCAGCAGCCAAAGAGGTGTGCTGGTTAAGCCTCAGCAATGGGCAGAGAAAGTGTTCTGTTTAGTAGGTATCAGGCCCTTCTAATTCTGAAGTCTGGTTGATGAGTGATATTTTTGTCTAAGAGATCAGTACTTCTTGACAGCCTGGCCACATTTCTCCCGGCTGTTATCGTCTTTGACACCCAGGCAGCCAGTTTCATTATCAACTGTCCTCTTTCTCCCCATATCTGACTCCCTCCCTCCTTGCTGCTTAACATTTTCTTATTCTTCTTTTTTATCATTAGATGTTCTCAACGTCAGGTTTTTCTTTCAACTCTAAAACATAGATTCTCAGAAGTCCAGCTCAGGTGAGAAACCACAGGCTTGATGTTGAGTTGAAATTGTGGTCTCTGGTAGATTAAGCAAGATTCTCCCAATTTTGAGATTATTCTATGGTATATAAAGTCAGTAAAATGAAGAACAGCCTAAGTTGGTATCTTAATGGCCATTGTGCTAGAGTGAGAAAGAGACACACACATACAGAAGCCCTGTTGTGTATTAAGTGCATGATACAATAGGAGTACTGTTTGTACTTTATGAACTGGGCGTGTTTGTGTGGCTTTTGGCTGAAGACATTCTCTACTTAGGTAGTGAAGATTAGAATTTCGAGACTTTTTTCTTTTTCTTTTCTTTTTTTTTTTTTTGAGACTTTTTTCTTAAACTGACTCCACAGGGACTTTTCACTTTGCTTCTTCGCAGAAGTAGGTGTAATCAGTCCTCAAACCTATCTTTTCTTCATTTTATGTCAAATTCATTTTCATAAGAGAAAAATAGGATACACTTATACCTAAATTTTAAAAATTCTAAACTTAACATCCTCAAGAATAATTTAGAAATTCACATGGCTTTTTAAAAAACTAATTATTATAGTTGACATACAATGTTACCTTAGTGTCAGGTGTACAACAGTGATTTGACAATTCTATACATTATGGGATGCTTACCACTGGTAAGTGGAGTTACCATTTGTCACCATATAATGTTATTACAGTATTATTGACTATATTCCCTATGCTGTACTTTTCATCTCCATGATCTATTTATTTGGTAACTGGAAGTTTGCACCTCTTAATCCCTTTTCACCTATTTTGCCTATCTTCCCTCCCACCTCCACTCTGATAACCATCAGTTTGTTGTCTATATTTAAGAGTCTGTTCATTTGTTTGTTTTGCTTTTTAGATTCCACATATAACTGAAATCATATGGTATTTGTCTTTCTCTGACTTATTTCTCTTGGCATAATATCCTCTAGGTTCATCTGGGTTGTCACAAATGGCAAGATGTCATTCTTTTTTACGACTAAGTAATAGTCTTGTGTGTGTGTGTGTATTTATCACTTTTTCATTATCCTTTTATCTATCTATACACAATTGGGTTGCTTCCATATCTTGTCTATTATAAATAATTCTGCAATAAACCTAGGGGTGCATATATCTTTTTGAATTAATGTTTTCATTTTCTTTGGGTAAATGCCCAGTAGTGGAAATACCAGATCATATGATATTTCTATTTTTAGTTTTTTGAGGAATCTCCATACTGTTTTCTACAGTGGTTGCACCAGTTCACATTCCCACAAACAGAGCCCAAGGGTTCTCTTTTCTCCACATCGTCATAAACACTTGTTTCTTGTCTTTTTTTTTTTTTTTTAAAGATTCTATTTATTTATTTGAGAGAGAGACTGAGATAGAGAGAGCATGAGAGGGGGGAGGGTCAGAGGGAGGAGCAGATTCCCCGCTGAGCAGGGAGCCCGATGTGGGACTCGATCCCAGGACTCCAGGATCATGACCTGAGCCGAAGGCAGTC